AATTATAAATTAGGAGACTACATTGACATTAAATCATTTTCTTTTTACAAATAAGAGATTATAAACAACGATGAAAAACAAGCCCACGTGCTAAGAGATTTGTAACACGTGTAAACTAAGTTTGAGTCAACAGAATTCCTGAATAGTAACCAACACCCAAAACAAACCACACACACACACACACACACACACACACACACACACACACACACTGTAAGAAAATGGCAAAGGATATCAACCAGCAATTTTACAGAAGTGGGATGTGAGAGGAAAAAGATTCTTAACCTTAATAGTAATCAAGGTTGTAAAGTTGAAGACACACACAGCCTTTCATTCTAGAATTCCGCTTCTCATTACACAGCCTGGAACATATGTTCACAGATGAGCCCTAGAAGACATTTATGCAAATACTCACTCCAGAACTTTGTAAAGTAGCAAAATAGAAACCTACAACAATCTAGAATTGTTGGAGACCATCTAATTCTCTCATCAGGAGATTGGTAAATTTGGTATATGAAAGTAGTCCCTACAGCAGTTGAAACTAACAAACTAGAACGATGTGTGTGTGTGTGTGTGTGTGTGTGTGTGTGTGTGTGTGTGTGTGTGGATGACATGTTTCAGAAACAGTATTAGTATAAAACCAAGTTGCAAAGATGGCAGTACAGTTTGGTTCTAAAGTTTAAAGACATTCAGAAAAATACATGGTCTTAAGGTTGCATATATATGTTCTAATAATACAAGCTATGTGTGGAAACAGTAAATGGGATCGTAGTTGCTGACCTCTGGGGAGTCAGGGAAGGAGATAACATGGAAGGGAAATGGGATACTGTGGGAGAGTCAGTACTATCCTGGTAAATATTTTTCATTACATTGTTTACTACTTGTTATAAATACAATTTTTTGTCTAATTAGGTTTTAATATTTCCTATTTTTAAAATATTGATGATTATGAACCGTTTCACTATTGTCCTTTTCTGTAATTCCTTTAGTCTTCTTTAAAATGTGAGAAATATACCAGGACCAGTTATGTGTAGTGATTGTACGGCTCATTTTTTTTTTTTTTTTGAGCGAGCATGAGGGAGAGGGGTGGAGGGAGGGAGAGACACAGAGAGAATCTAAAGTAGGCTTCATGCTCAGCACAGAGCCTAACGCTGATCTCTGTCTCAGCGACCATGAGATCATGACCAGAGTGGAAATCAAGAGTTGGAGTTGGCTTAACCTACTGAGCCACCCAGGTGCCCCAGCTTAATATATACATGTATATATTTTTATACATATATGTATACACACATGTATATACATATATATATATGTTTTATATATGTATATGTATATATTTAAGTTTATTTGTTTATTTTGAGAGAGAGAGAGCGTGAGCTGTGGAGGAGAGGCAAAGAGAGAGAGAGAAGCCCAAGCAGGCTCCACATTGTCAGCACGGAGCCCAGCGTGGGGCTCCAGCACACAAACTGTGAGATCGTGACCTGTGCCAAAATCCAGAGTCAGATGCTGAACCGACTGAGCCACCCAGGTGCCCCACTATCTTCCCCCCCCCCCAGTCTTTTAAAATAAAGAATAAAATATATTTTTTATAGTCATCTGAAAATGGCTTAGGTAATTTCTAAGATTCCTTCTAGCACTAAAGTATAGTTCTTTGATGTTTCCAAACAACAGAAAAATCTTTTTTTAATGTGCCATCTGACAATTCTAGGTAATTCAAGCATTGAGGACAATGAAACCAATTTGCTATAAAAGTTGTTTTTTTCAGTCCATCTATCCTTTCTCCAGCCTCTACAACAGGTGTCCCCAAACTTTTTCTATAAGGGGCCAGACAGGAAATATTTTAGGCTTTTAAGGGCACACCGGGGCACCTGGGTGGCTCAGTCGATTAAGTGTCTGACTTCGGCTCAGGTCATGATCTTACAGTTTGTGAGTTTGAGCCCCACATCGAGCTCTGTGCTGACAGCTTGGAGCCTGGAGCCTGCCTGGGATTCTGTGTCTCATTCTCTCTCCGCCTCTCCCCCACTTGTGCTCTGTCTCTCCCTGTTTCTCAAAAATAAATAAATGTAAAAAAATTTTTTTTTTAAATAAGACCACTGTTGTCAGAGCTACTCACTTCTGCTGTATAGTGGGAAAGCTACCATAGATAATACAAGTGAATGGATGTGACTTTACAACAAAACTTTTTTTTCAAAAATAGGCAATGGACTAGATTGAGCCTATGTGTCAGTATTTCCATATCGTGATGTAGAGCGCCCTGAAATGACTTCAGTCATATTATCCCCTTATTGCAAATGAGAGAGCTGAGGCATAGAAACCTTAGGTGGTGTCATTCAGGGTAAAGTGATCCTAGGTAAGGAGACATCTACAAAAATGTTGCTAAGGCCAAAGTCAGAGAGATTACTGCAAATGTTTTATTCTAGTTTTATGATTTCAGATCTCACATTTAAGTCTTTAATCCATTTTGAGTTTATGTTTGTGTATGGTGTGAGAAAGCAGTCAGTTTCATTCTTCTGCATGTCGCTGTCCAGTTTTCCCAACACCATTTATTGTATAGCCTGTCTTTTTCCCACTGTATATTCCTGCCTCCTTTGTTGTAGATTAAGTGACCATAAAAGCTTGGGTTTATTTGCTCCCTATTCTGTCCCATTCATCTATTTGTCTGTTTCTGTGTCTGTACCATAGTGTTTGATGACTACAACTCTGTAGTATATCTTGAAATCTAGGATCAAGATACCTCCAGCTTTGTTCGAAATGGGTTTCCTCAAGCAAGGGAACAAAAGAATAAACTATGAGGACTGCATCAACATAAAAGGCTTTTGGGGCACCTGAGTGGCTCTGTAGGTTAAGCATCTGACTTCGGCTCAGGTCATCTCACAGTTCGTGGGTTCAAGCCCTGTGTCAGGCCCTGTGCTGACAGCTCAGAGCCTGGGGCCTGATTCAGATTCTGTGTCTCCCTCTCTCTCTGCCCCTCCCCCACTCACACTCTGTCTCTCTCAAAAATAAACAACGACAGAAAAGCTTTTGCACATGCATAGCAAAGGAAACTGTCAACAAGACAAAAAGGCAACCTGTTAAATGGGAGGAGGTGTTTGCTCACGATGTACCTGGTAAGGGACTGGTCTCCATAGAAAGAATTCCTGCAGCTTAGAAAACCAGATTATCCAGTTTAAAAATGGGTCTAAAAACTAAATGGACATTTTTCAAGAGAGTACTTGAGAACAGCACCAGACACATGAAGAGACGCTAAACCTCACTCACTGTCAGGAGAATGCAAATCCAAACCACACCGAGATGTTACCGTACACGTGTTGGGATTGCCAGAATCTCAAAGGTGACGGTGAGGGTGTAGAAGAAAAGGAATTCTTGTGGGCTCTCGGTGGGACTGTAAACTGGTGCAGCCACTGTGGAAAACATTGGGTGGGAGGTGTCCTCAAAAGAGTTAAAAACAGAGATAACCGTATGATCCAGCAATTGCATTCCTGGGTATTTACGCAAAGAAAATGAAAACCCTAACTTGAAAAGATACATGCACCCATATGTTCATTACAACATTATTGACAATAGCCAACATACGGAAGCAGCCCAAGTGTCCACTGATAGGTGATTGGATAAAGATGATGTACATACATAGAGTGGATTGTTACTTAACCATAAAAAGAATATGATTTTGCCATTTGTGAGAAGATGGATATACCTGGAGTGTATTATGCTAAGTGAGATCAGAGAAATACAAATATATAAGTCCATTTCTATGTAGATCTAAAGAAACAAATGAACCAAGAAAGAAACAAAAAACCAGACTTTTAAATTCACAGTCTGATGGTTGTTGGAGGTGAGGTGGTGGGGAAACGGGTGAGATAGGTAATGGGATTAAGAGGTACAAACCTCCAGTTATAAGTCCAGGAAAGAGATAGATGGGGGCAGGGGGGAGGGAATGACCCTGACCACATGGTAATAGAATTCTTTTTGCATACATGATACTCATAGAAGATTCTTTTTCTTCCTCTACAGGTAGAATACATTGAGAGAGTCTAAATTCGTAATTTTTTACATTTAATCTTTATATTTTTTTAAATTTTTAATGTTTTATTTTTATTTTTGAGGGAGAGAGAGACAGTGTGAACAGGGGAGAGGCAGAGAGAGAGGGAGACACAGAATCTGAAGACAGGCCCCAGGCTCTGAGCCAGCTGTCAGCACAGAGCCTGATGCGAGGCTCGAACCCACAAACCATGAGTCATGACCTGAGCCGAAGTCAGACGCTTAACCGACTGAGCCACCCAGGCGCCCCTAACTTTAATCTTTAAATTGTTATTAGAAAACACATTGCTGGGTCTTCTTTACGGGAATCCTTTATGTATGATTTTTTGCCAAGGTTTGCAACGCTTTTCCTTATTCAAATGTAGAAACAAATACAAAACCTGGTATGATGTCATTTGTTGTTCATTAGACCTGGATACCTCACCAGCCTTTGACTTAACATCTACAAATAGCTTCATATCACATAAATTCCTACTGAGCAGTGGTGTCCATTGAATTTAAAAGCTTTATGAAGCAGTGTCTTGTCTTTGCAATTACTTTGGCCTGAAGTAATTAGAAATTTATTACAAGGTCGAAGAAGTATATTTTTCCCTCTCCAATTTCACGGCCTGGAGCATAGTTTGTTTTGTGTATATCAAGGCATCGTGGTCTTCTCCGTGTCCCAAAAGGAGGCCTAACATGGGCACTTTGGAACCTGTGCAGATATAAGGGAAGGGTTCTATGGTTCATTTAACGTGATTGAAAACTGCCGACAGTTTTTATCTCCAGGGGAACACTGAAAGTGCATGTGTTTAAGAAAGTTTTCAAATGAATCCGAATCAGGATTTGAACCCGTAAAGTAAGTGTTCTTAGAGTATTAACTTTAAGAGAAGTTGAGATTTTCAGAGAGATTTTTATCTTACCAAATAAATGGTTCTATTTACTTTTCCCCAGCTAAAAATTGCCTGTATCTGTCTTTTCAGGGACATCAAACCTGACAATATATTGATGGATATGAATGGACATATTCGGTTAGCAGATTTTGGCTCTTGTCTGAAGCTGATGGAAGATGGAACGGTAAATAAAGATAAATCTTAAGTTATTTTATCCAGAGATATCTCCCTTGCTACATGTCCTCCTTACCTGTTTTGGAAACCGTCTATTTATATTATTTAGCTATCCATCCACCCATCCGTTTGTCTTTCTACATCCCACCTTTTCCCACACGGCATTTAGGCATATTTACTCATAACAGGGTTTGTTTATAAAGTCATATGCCAGTTTTCACTGCTTATATTAATGATGGTAAGATTGACACAGTGTCTTTTATGAGAATTTGGTTCTTCTCCAGCGGAACTGTTGATTGTACTTGAGATTTTTTCACAGTTTTAGAGATGCGAATAAAGTCAAGTCTCACACGGGAGAAGAAAATGTGGATCCTTCCTGACTTTTACTTTTTTTTTTTTTTAATGTTTTTTATTTATTCTAGGAGAGAGAGAGAGAGAGAGAGAGAGAGAGACAGCGTAAGCAGGGGAGGGTCAGAGAGAGAGGGAGTCACAGACTGAAACTGGCTCCAGGCTCTGAGCTGGCAGCCAGCACAGAGCCCGACGTGGGGCTCGAACCCACGAACCGTGAGATCATGACCTAAGCGAATGTCGGATGCTTAACTGACTAAGCCACCCAGGCGCCTCACTTTTTTTTTTTTTATCTTTCTTTCCCAGTTGTCTAGTTATTTTTTTGAGGGACGGTGTTCAACAGATGAATGTTTAATCAGGACATCCTCTATGGATTTCGTTTTTTACATGACCATTTGGTTTTAGTTCTGTTACCCTACATCCCTCAGCTGTTTTCTTTCACTTGTATCAAAGTTTATATGCCTCAATTTATGCTCTGTTTTGTTTTATTTTGTTTGTTTTTCAGTTTTCTGGCTGTATAGCAGAGGTTCAAATATATGTAATTTCAATTGGCGGGAACTGTTTTTGAGAGCAGTTTAGTGTAATACATTCCGAGGGCTATGAAAATTCTAGACCAGTAATTTAGCTTCTGAACATTTATCCTGAGGAGATACCTTGAAAAACAATAGATGATATGACTTCTGCCTCTGGTCGTGATGGAGTGACTGGTACCAGTTGTGCTGTCACTGTAAACAGCTGTGTAACTGTACATAACACTTGGGACACCTGTTTGCAGGCACGGACAACAGGCAGCATCAGACTGTTACCTTTGAGAGAAACGGATTCACAAGTCGCCCCTTATGGTTTCTGAGGACTGGGTGCGTCTGCAGGCTGTGGCGCAGAGCGCTGGACTTAGAGCGGCGAGCAGTAGCCCCGCAGAGCCGAGGAGGAAGACGTCAGAGTTGAATGAGCTGAATTAGTCCTCAGTGCTTAACATGGGAGAGGAGGGAGTTGTTGAGAGGGGCTAAAGCATCCCTACGGGGCAATCTCATGAGGTCTGGGCGGTATATATATATATATGCAGAACAAGAGCGTAAGACATACCGAATAGTACATGCTTTGCATTTGAAAATGGAACAGGTTACGGGAAATCAGGAGATTCTGGAGGAGAAAGATGCACAGGGACACTGGACGTTTGGCCCTGGAGAGCTTTAACCCCTTTATCACAGGGAAGACTTCTTCTAGACCTAACAGTCTCAGTCTAAGCAAGTCCTGATAAGATCCACAGAGTTTGAGGGGCGCCTGGGTGGCTTAGTCGGTTAAGCGTCCGACTTTCGCTTAGGTCATGATCTCGCGGTTCGTGGGTTCGTGCCCCGCGTCGGGCTCTGTGCTGACTGCCAGCTCAGAGCCTGGAGCCTGTTTCAGTCTGTGACTCCCTCTCTCTCTGACCCTCCCCTGCTCACACTGTCTCTCTCTCTCCTAGAAATAAATAAAACATTAAAAAAAAAAAAAAAAAAAAAGATCCACAGAGTTTGAAAGTGAAAGTGTTCCTCCCAAGTCAGGGGCCTTGAGATGAATCTGAGACTTTAGGTAAATCTGCCCCCAAAGGGTGTAATTGAACAAACCAACCTTGTTCAAGGAGACCAGGCATATATATAATTTTTTACTGCCTCTACAAGAATTAATATCTGCAGAGGAAGATAACAGGATCTCGGCTCTCTGCTCCAATAGCTTACTGATAGTGACCAGCGTTCAGTCAGAAATCACCAAACCAAACAAAAATGGGGACAGGATAGGGATCCCGAGACAGAGTTAAAAAATAGAAGCAGTCAGGGGTACCTGGGTGGCTCAGTTGAACGTTTGACTCTCTTGATTTTGGCTCAGGTCGTGACTAAAGAATTAAAATATAGTCTTAAAGATTATTTAGATGAGAAATCGCAGAGAAAGAAATCAGATGGACCTTTTATTTATACTTAAATTTTTTAATGTGTGTTTTTGAGAGAGAGAGACAGAGCACAAACAGATGAGGGGCAGAGAGAGAGGGAGACTCAGAACCTGAAGCAGCCTCCAGGCTCCAAGCTGTCAGCACAGAGCCCGACACAGGGCTCAAACTCATGAACCATGAGATCATGATCTGAGCTGAAGTCAGACGCTTAACTGACTGAGCCACCCAGGTGCCCCTCAGATGGACCTTTTACAACTTGAAAAGTGGGACAGCTGGGTGGCTCAGTCGGTTGGGTGTCCGGCTTTGGCTCAGGTCATGATCTCACAGACCATGGGTTCAAGCCCCGCGTCGGGTTCTGTGCTGACAGCTACTTTAGAGCCTGGTGCCTGTCTTTGGATTCTGTGTCTCCCTCTCTCTCTGACCCTCCCCTGCTCATGCTGTCTCTCTCTCAAAAATAAATTAAAAAATACATTCAAAAAAATTTTTTTAACTTGCAAAGTATAGTAATAGAAATTGAGATTTTTTTTTAAAACAGATATTTTAAAATAATCTCCGAGCTACTCATAAGTATTGGCCTTTTGGGGGGGGAGGGGAGGTATTATTTTCATTCTAATGAATTGTAGGATTTTTCCCAGGTTGATTGTTTTTATATGTGCATGATAGTCAGATAATATCAGTAATAAGAATGTTCCGTACTCAGTATTCAATTTGTTTTTAACAGTTGTGTGTTCAGATCATATTGTGACACCAAATTTAGTCAGTGGAGTAACAGCAATAATAAATATTCTAGAATGTTACGAAATACGAGAACTGTCAGTGTAGAGATTATCTAAAATTTAACTCTGTGTACACCGAGACCAAAGTCAGGTAATGAAAAAGGTGTAGTTGTTTTGAAATAATGTCTGTTGTGCGTTTAAGTAAATGTAAATATTTTGAATTAAAAATTATTATTTGTTTCTAATATCATAACTTACTAGAAATGTCTGAACTTCTTAGGTCCAATCTTCAGTGGCTGTTGGAACTCCCGATTATATCTCTCCTGAAATCCTTCAGGCCATGGAGGATGGGAAAGGCAGATACGGACCCGAGTGTGACTGGTGGTCGTTGGGGGTCTGTATGTACGAAATGCTTTATGGAGAAACACCGTTTTATGCAGAATCTCTGGTGGAGACATATGGAAAAATCATGAATCATAAAGTTAGTATATTTTACTTTTTTCAACAATTGAATGTGGTAAATAATACATACAATACATTTAAAGTAATGTGATACTTAAAAGGAAAATATTTTCTAAGAACAGTGAACAATTGAATTTTTATGCTATTAGGGGACGTGACTCATCATGAATAATCAAAAGCCATAAATTAGACCTAAAATTATTAGTTCTCCCTTCTCCTGTATTTTATTAGAAGTGCTAATAAAGAGGAAATTAAATGGTCTCTTCAGTAGAATAACAAAGATCGTAAGCAGATAATTTATATCCTTACTGCTCTCAGGACATTCATGACTAGAATGCAGTTAAAAAATTCTCATCCTTGGCAGTAATAAATGAAATGCAAATCAAAATAAAAATGAGCTATTTGTTTTCTCCCCTGGCAAAGATGAAAAGAAAAATTATACTCTGTACCGTAAATAACTCAGTGAGATGGACGGTGTCAGGTGTTGTTGATAGGAATACAAATTGATGTCATCAATTTATAAGTATGCATCCACAGCCTTAAAAATGTCAGACCTCGGGGGCACCTGAGTGGCTCAGTCTGGACGGTTAAGCGTCCGACTCTTGGTTTTGCCTCTGGTCATGATCTCCTGATTCAGGCCCCACATTGGGCTGAGCGCTGACAGTGCAGCGCCTTCTTGGGATTCTCTCTCTCCCTCTCTCTGCCCCTCCCCTGCTCTCTCTCTCTCTCTCATAATAAATAAATAAACTTAAAAAAAATTTTTTTTAAATGGTAGAATTTTGGATTGAGCAACTTCAGTTTTAGGAATCTGCCCCAAGAATATAATCAGTTGAACCAAGAGGTACGTACAGGGATACCTTTTCCAGTCTTATTTGTGATCAAAGTAGCAGAAACAATCCCACTTCACAACGGGGACACATTAGCAGTACCTTAACCCATTTAGTGCCAGGTGAGATGGAAATAAATTATAAGTAGAAGTTGTTTCTGATTGATTGGTTTCGGAAGAGTGTGAGCAGTTGGAAAAACCTGGAGTAGGAACATCCCCGAAAAGGAGTGACGATCTGTTCTCCTGAGTTGACCTGGTGAAACCGTTATGATTAGTTGACCCTCCCGTGAGGTTGACGCTCTTCCAGAGAGTTGGCGCTTCCGGTAGAGGTGGCGCTCTGGTCCCTGGCTGCGAAGGTGATCTGCTAAGTGGTTAGGAAGAGTTGAAAGATAGGGACGAACTACACAGTTGGAACTGGCACGTCAGGCGTTTCAGAGAGAGAGAGAGACAGAGAGAGAGATGGTCTGTGATGTGGCGCTTCAGGCCTGGATTCCAGGGTCAGGCCGCTCCACCAGGGCCCGTCGTGTGACTGGGAGCGGACTGCTTGGACTCCCTGGGCCTTTGTTTCCTCCTCTGGGCCATTGGAATGAGAGAGGTGCCTGCCTAGACCCCTACTGCCTACTGTGAGGACCCCCTGCTGTGAGGACCAGCCCAGCGTGGTGAGTGAGTAGAGCAATTTAGTGGCCTCAAGTACGCGTTCCATTCTTTCCAAATGTTTATTTATTAGCAAGACTTACCGAATGTTATCAGTCACATACACTCTCCTGAAATGTTGAGTCGGACTCTACTTTAATGAGTTCTCTTCATTCTGACAGCAGGGTGAGGTATGTTAGTGGCTGATTTTTTCTCCTTCCTGCAGTGTGTGTGTCCTTGAAGCACACTTAAAATGACAAATTCTTTTACGAAAACGCTCTTTTCTCACAATCCCCATATCTCCTGCTGTGGGAGTACTTGGTAGCAGTGTCACTTCTTAGACATTTTTAAGAGAAGGTGCATTTTGAAGAAAACGAGTGTACGTCAGCCTACTCGGGGAGCTGAAGACTGATATATATTTTGTTTCTGTTTTTCAGGAGAGGTTTCAGTTTCCAGCTCAAGTGACCGACGTGTCTGAAAATGCTAAGGATCTTATTCGAAGGCTCATTTGCAGCAGAGAACACCGACTGGGGCAAAATGGCATAGAAGACTTTAAGAAACACCCCTTTTTCAATGGAATTGATTGGGATAATATTCGAAACTGTGAAGCACCGTATATCCCAGAAGTTAGTAGCCCAACAGATACGTCAAATTTTGATGTGGACGATGATTGTTTAAAGAATTCTGTAAGTGTGACTCTGTGAAGAAGTTCTGTCTCTTTCTTTTTAATATGGTTATAAAGCAGTCTTACGGACTTTCTTCTCAGCGACCAGTCAGACAGTCTCATGGCTTCTAGTATTTATTCTCTCAGACATGAAGCAGTTAAGAGAGTTCGCTGAGGCCAGCATGTTTGTTCATGACAAGGAGCAGAATTCAACTTCACGACTTACTCGTTAGGTCAGTTACACCTTAGGTTTCCGAGGAGGAGCAGAGGTTAGCTGCTTAGAAAAGTAGACTCACGATAGCAGAGTGAGGAGGTTGGCAAATCTCTCCTTAAAGAGCACCGTGATCCTGGACTATCTTGGGGCTTGACGAAACAACCCGGGGTAAATCAATTTAGAAGCCTTTATTCCTAAGAACCTGGGCTTTGGTTCAAAACCGCCCCCACTGCCTTCCGTCAGCTTGGTTGGGGCTATAGAACTGTTAGCAGGAAGCAGCTTTGCTGCCAGGGAACTGACGCGATCGGGAGAGCTGCCCATACCCGGTGGTGGTACCACGAGAAATAGCAAAGTTGGGGGGAGTGAATGGGGAGGAAATCTACAGCCTTGCTGTCCTGAGGTTCCAGCCTTACCTGGGGTGGTGGTGGACCAGCCGTGTAGCCAGGCCTTCCACCGCTTGGAGCTTAGGGCTGGCATAGGTCCTCAACCCCTGCTCCAGTCCTTTAAGGTCCATAAATACAATTTCCGACAAGAAGAATGCACGATTTTTATGGGGTTTGTCCTTTTAGTCTTCTTTTTTTTTTTCTTTAATTTTTTTTTTTATGTTTTATTTATTTCTAGGGGAGAGAGAGGGAGACAGTGTGAGCAGGGGAGGGTCAGAGAGAGAGGGAGTCACAGACTGAAACAGGCTCCAGGCTCTGAGCTGGCAGTCAGCACAGAGCCCGACACGGGGCTTGAACCCACGAACCGCGAGATCATGACCTAAGCGAAAGTCGGGCGCTTAACTGACTAAGCCACCCAGGCGCCCCTTCTTTTTTTTTTTTTAAAGTTCATTTTGAGAGAGAGAGCACAAGCAGGAGAGGGGCAGAGAGAGGGGGAGAGAGAGAAACCCAAGCAGGCTCCGCACTGTCAGTGTGGAGCCCGGTGTGGGGCTCGATCTCATGGAACCGTGAGGTAACGACCTGAGCCGAAATCACGAGTTGGCCGCTTAACCAACTGAGCCACCCAGGTGCCCCGCCTTATTACCCTTCTTAATTTGAACTTTATTCTTTTATTCCACTGTTTTATTTCTTATGGTTTTAATTCTCCACTAAGAAATTTTATATTAATTTTAGGTCACTTTTCACTGTTCAGGAAGTAGCACATGCAAGGCAGATAAGAACATCCTATGCTTCTGTCTCTGGGCTTTCCTCATGAGTTTTCTTTCTTATTATAAGAGTTGTATTTACTGTTAACAGAAGCTTGAGTCATTCCAAATTCAGTATGTGGTACAGCCAATTCTGATGATGGTAGTTACACATTCAGTTAGGTCTGTGTACAGGGCATTAGCGAGTATTGAACCACCACTCCCGGGGAAAGTTAGCTTCTAAGAGCCTCTGGCCTTCTGACCAGCCAGTCAACACAGAACCTTGTTTTATGTATGTTTCTATTTAAAGTCACCTTATTTCATGATATTGTTGATCGATGAAGTTTGACCTCACAGCCAACAGCCATGTAACTCGCGCCTGCACAGAGCTGGTCTAACACACGGACTTCGTAGGGCACGTCACAGCCGCCTTGCTTAGGAAGGCCAGGTGGCCCTTGGCACTGTGCTGGTGGGACTTGTTAAACAACGCAGTGCCCGTAAAAGCAGAAAAATGTGAAAAACATGGCACGTGTAGGTCCCGGAAGGAGTGCTGGTCTGGAGTGCCCGAGCTGACACGGGAGGCTAGAGCGCCTCCCTGTCCGGCCCCAGCTGGAAACCCAGGCAGCAGACACTCGGTTTAGTGTGGTCTCTCTGCACACGTCCCTGAGCGATTGCAGGACTGTGAGCATTGATTTCGGGTTACAAATAACTCTTCGGGACACAGCAGGTGCACAGCTGTGAATGCCTGGATCATGACTGAACTGTCAGCGTCAGCCTTTCCATCTCGATTTTCGTTTTACTAGAATGTTCTGGCATCAGTGTTTGCTGCGTGCGTTGTAGGTCCCGACACGTCTGTCCTAGACCCAACCTGGGGGTCTACCTCCAGCCCTGTGTTCCCTCGTGACAGCAGCCCTGCGGATGAGCCTCCTGGTCACAGTTGCTCATTTCTTACCAGATGTTTTCTCGCCCCTCAGGAAACGATGCCTCCCCCCACACATACCGCCTTCTCGGGCCACCACCTGCCGTTTGTGGGCTTCACGTACACCAGTAGCTGGTAAGTTGGAAAAGTTCACATACTGTGGACGGCTCCAAGCAGGTTAAAATGAACGGAGATTGTAAAATACATACCAGAGAGTCTTGTAAATAATAATTTAAAAAAATTAAATATAGGAAGAAGCTACTGCAGGAGAAAGAACATGAGACTCTGAAGTCATTTGGAGGAGACAGAAGGGCGGTAGGACTCGGGATCTAGCTCTCGGCACCGGAGCAGGAAGCGGGAGGGTCCCTTGAGCAGGTGCACCGCGCCTGCTCTCCCTCCATCAGGCCGCCGCCCGCTCCCCCGTCCCCCTCGCTCGCTCGGCGTAGGCTGAGGGTGATTCTAATCACTCCTTACCTGCCCCTTCCCCCTCGGCTGCCTCTTGCTCTGTCACATGGTTTTGCTAAGGTGACATCCCTTTTCTGCCCGCACCTGTGCAGCTCAGGGTCCAGAGAAACTTCCCTGGCCTTTCTTGCTGGTCTTCCTTAAGTTCATGATTACCAACCTCAAGCACCTCCTTGCTGCCTGGACGGTGCACTGTGTTCCCCCCCACCCCCCAGCCCGTTCTTCCGCTCTCCCCGGGCTCCATCTCATGCTTTATACTTTCCCCGGAAACCTCCGTCGCCATGCACTCACCTCATAATCCCGCTCCCTCTTGCACGGAGAGGTCGAGGCAGTTGGTTTCCCTACGCGCCTTCGCACGTGGCACCGCCTCCCTCTGGCCCCGAGCTCCCGTCTGTGTGGATGGACTGGGGGGGCTTTGGACTCGCTCTGCTTCCTCTGGCTTTCTGGCCTCTCCTCTGTCTCTGGCTCCCTGTGCCCCAGCGCTTAGTCTTGGGACCTTTTCCGTTTACCCCCCGGTGCCCTCCCAGACATTTGCTGCTGTGTCCCCAGCGGAGGCCTCTCTGCTCTCTCCTACTTCCAGCCTCTCAGCCTCCCACCTCTCAGGTTTCTAGTGTCGTCTCTTAGATTCTCTGAACCGGCTGGTGCTGGCCTGAGGGAATTCTCAGCGCAGCCCGCCCTCCTCCGCTCAGGGCCAACCCCCCACTGTCCCCCCAGCCCAGCGCCTTCGCCTCTCACTCCAAACCGCGGTTCCTGCAAGGCCCTGCATGACTGGCTCACTTTACCTTTCTGTTTCCCGCTACTCTTGACCTTGCTCACTCGACTCCGGCCACACACGTGTCCTTTCTGGCCTGTGAATGTGCCGGACACGCTCTTGTCTCAGAGCTTTTGCACTTCTGTTCCATCTGCCTGGAATGCTGCTCCCCCTGTTACTCCCTTGGCTCGTCCCCTTCCTTGCTCTGGACTTTATTCAGAGTTCCTTTCTGCGTGAAAGCTGCCCGGCCACTCTGTCTAGATTTTTCTTTCCTCCCCGTTAATATTTGACTTCCTCCTTTCCTGCTTTATGTCTGCTCCAGCAGTCTGATGCCCCGGAGGTTTTACCTATTTATCTGGTTTGTTTCTGTCTCTGGAAGACAAGCGGCCAACACTCCACGTATTTTTAGCTAAATTGTATTAAAGAAAGCATTTCACTTTTGCATCTGAATCCTGATAAAGAGGACGTGACGTGTGCTTTGGACCACGATTCCACTTGCGTGGGTCGCCATGTTTTCAGCAAACTTCATTCTGTCATTTGTGGTGATTAAAATTCGAGACACATGGGACTCTCTTTCACTTAAAAATTCTTCTGAAAAGTCACTTGTGTTGAGTTTTGCAAACAGGGTGTCTGGCAGTCACTGTAGTGGTGGCCACAGCCGTCCTGAGCCATTCAAATCCGTGTTTGAAGCGGACGGTTCCCTGCAGGCGCCCGTGTCTGTGCGAACTCACCCGGTTTGTCCCCGCAGCGTTCTCTCTGACCGGAGCTGTCTGCGCGTGACAGCCGGGCCCGCCTCGCTGGACCTGGACGTCAGCGTTCAGAGGACTCTGGACAACACGTTGGCCACCGAGGCTTACGAGAGAAGGATCAAGCGCCTGGAGCAGGAGAAACTCGAACTTGGCAGAAAGCTTCAAGGTAAGTATGTGTCAGAGATGCCGTTCTGTCTTTTGAATTGGACTCACAGTTTGAGGGACTGTTTATTGAGGGACTGTTGTTTTATCTTGAGACGAAATTTGTTTTACGAGGTGAGAAAAAGCCAGGTGAAGGAGGTCACGCGGAATATAGTAGAAGACCATTCATGTAGACTCGCAACCTCAGCGGTAAACCTCAGAGCAGCGTTCCCCCCCCACCCCCGGGCGCGTGTGCTGCACACGGACACGTCTGGGGACGCGGGGCCCTTCTCACCCCGGCGTCGCACTCCTTGTCACCGTCGCATTGCTGGTCCCTAAAAGGCCAGCTTCCTAGCAGCCTTTCTCTGCAGCATCACTCCTGTCCTCACACTTGGTGGTTTTATTCTCTTTATTTATTTCTTAAGTTTATTTACTGATTTTGAGAGAGAGAGAGAGAACGTGAGCAGGGGAGGGACAGAGAGAGAAGGAGAGAGAGAATCCCACTCAGAAGCCCACGCGGGGCTCGGACTCACGAACTGTGAGATCACGACCTGAGCCAAAACCAGGAGTCGGACGCTGAACCGCCTGAGCCTCCCGGGCGCCCCAGACACTTGGTGATTTCGAGACGCGTGTGGGCAGATCCTCGTGTTCTGAGCTGCTGGCCTCCTGGTCGCTCGCGTCCCACGGTCTTGTCCTCCGCCCGCCCTCATCGGCTCCTGTCTCGAGACCGCGCTCTCAGGCAGACCCGCGGCGTCCCCCGTTCTCGCCGTCTGCTCCACCCCGGTGGTGCCTCCAGTTCCGTCAGCCCCACCGTCACCTACGGCCCTGTCGCCCTGCCCCGTGGTCGGTCGTCTTCGTGCCCTCTCGCGGGCGTCCCCTCTGTTGCCCCTCCTGCTGCCTGTCTCCCCTTTGCCAGAACTCCAGCCCTGCTGACGTGCATCACCCGTGCACCTGCGTGGCTGCGGGAACGTGCTGGGGACCCGCCGCGCGCTGACCGATCGCCCCGAGTTCACGGGCACTGATGTCAATTTGAGGCGTCCCGAATACTGCCCAGTCCGAATCTTCTCACCCGTCAGCACTTGCCTACTTGACGCCACCCCCCCCCCCAAGAGATCTTCACCCCCTATGACCCCCTCCATTGCTCTTTCGGCTTCTGGCCGCTCTGGGCTCCTTGGCTGTTCTTTCCACAAACCTGGCACATCCCCACCTCAGGGCCTTTGCATAGCTGCTGCCCTGCCTAAACTCCCTTCCTTTGTGTTCACACGACTCGTTCCCTTACCTCGGTCAGGGAGGTATTTCTACCTGAATGTTACCTTTAAGTGAGGCCTTTCCTGACTACCCCGTTTGTAACCTAACCTTGCTTTATCTCCGGCATTCACTGTGCCCCTCTCCTGCTTTATTTTCTCCAAAATAAAGGGCGTAACATACAATTTATTTTACTTCACTCCTTTGGTGAATGAAGGAATATAACCCAAAAGCTTCTGACTCTTACTAGATAAAGAATCAGATTGTTAGAATAGTAAACTTCTGCTTTTCTGTTTTCAGAGGCCCAGTGGGGAAAGAAACGCCACCGACAGCAGTAAAACAGACTGCTTTCTGTTTTTCCATCAGTCGCCCAGATTTCTGCATGTGGATTAGTTCCTCTCTGTGGTGCAAGTTGTTTTGACTGTTTAATCGAATATATTTACCGCGTATCACTGTATACATTTAAGGCGTGCACCTTGTGACTTTGGTGCATCCGTGCATCGTGACGAGATTGTCGTTGCGGGAAGCTTAGCACCTTCTCTCACGGCACATAGTCACACTGCGGCGTTGCTGTCTGTGTTCCTCACACTGTGCCCTAGACCTTCAGGATTCATTTGCTACTTGTTGCGAGTTTGGACCCTTGAATACCACTCTCCCTGCCCGCGCCCCCTCCCTGTAACCGCGCTTTTACTCTCTGTTATTTTATGAGCTGGACTTCTTCGGATCTCACACAGAAGGGACGTCATACACCACGTGTCTTTCTACGTCTGACTGAGCCACTCAGCGCAGTGGCTCAAGGTCCATCCGTCCACGTTGTCACACATGGCAGGACGCTGTCCTTTCTCATGGCCGAATGACAGTCCGTTGTGTACCTGCGCCCCACCTTTTTACCCATTCATCCACTGGGGCACCTTTAGGTGGTTTCCACGACTTGGTTATTGCGAATTATGCTTCAGGAAACATGGGGGCGCATCTATCCCTTCGAAATCCTGCCCTTACTTCCTTTGGGAACACAACCAGAAATGGAACTGCTGGGTTGTATGGTTGTCAATTTTTAATTCTTTTGAGGAAACTTCAAACCGTTGTCAGTGGTGGCTGGAGACGTTCATTCCCACCAGCTGTGCACTTGGGTTCCGTTTTTCACCACGTCCCATCCGCACCTGTTGTCTCTTGTCTTCCTGTCTTTCTGGTCTTCTTGATCGCCATTCTGACAGGTGTGAGCACAGTGATACCTCACTGGGGTTTTGATCTGCATTTCCCTTACGATTAGTGATGTGAAATCGAGCGTCTTTTCATGCGCCTGTTGGCCATTTGGAAGGGCTTTTTTGAAAAATGTCTATTCGGTTCTTCTGCCCATTTCTGAATTGGATTGTTTGGTTTTTGTTAGTAAGTTGTGTGAGTTCTTCGTGTATCTCGGATATTATCCCGTTAGCCAGTATATCGCTTGCAAAGATTTCCTCCCATTCTGTAAGTCGCCTTTTCACTTTGCTAATTGTTTCTTTTGCTTTACGGAAGCGTCTGTGTGGGGGGTAGGCCCAATTGTCTTGTTTCTGTTGCACATGCATTTTGGTGGCGCATGCATTTTGGTGTCACATGCAGAAGACCATTGCCAGGACCAACGTCCGCGAGCTTTTCCCTGTTTTCCTCTAGGCGTCCTACACTGTCAGGTCTTCTTGTTTAAGTCTCTGATCTATTTGGAGTTAATTTTTGTGAGTGGGGGAAGAGGGGCCCACTTGCGTCATTCTGTGTGTTTTCGTGGCACCATTTGTGGAAGAGAGTGTCCTTCCCCAGTGGGTGACCTTGGCTCCCTTGTTGAGTAGGAGTTGACCATGTTTGGCGCCATCTGATCCTGGGCTCTGTTTTGTTCTGTGTGTCTGCGTTTGTGCCCGTAGCGTATTGTTTTTTTTCCTGTCACTTTGTAGTGTGGTTTGAAGTGAGGAAGCGTTCTACCTCTGACCTTGTTCTTTTTGTCGGGACTGCTCTGTGCGGTGTCTCTGTGATGCCACGGCCGATTTGAGGGTGGTTGGTTCTGTGTCTGTGAGGAATCCTTTGGTGTTTTGATGGCTGTTGTGTTAAATCTGTACATGGCTTTGGTAGGATAAACATTTTAACAGTATTAATTCTTGTGACCCATGAATGCACGACGTCTTTCCACCTGTCTGTGTTGTCTTCTGTTTCAGCAACTCTTAGGGTTTCCTTGGTACAGATCTTGTCCTTCCTTGGTTCACGTCTTCCTGAGTAGTTCATTGTTTTTGGTGCTGTGTGAAGGAGATGGTTTTCTTTCTTTCTTTTTCCGACGTCTCGCGTTTGCTGTGAAGGAGTACAACAGATTCATTTATGTTGATTTTGTGTCCTGCAACTTTGCCGAAAGTGGCGATCAGCTCTCCCGCGGTTTTCTGGGTCTGCTCTTTGGGCCTTTCTGTATGTGGAGTCTTGAGCAGATAGTAACATTTGTCCCCTCTCTCTGATTTGCATGCCTTTTCTTTCTTTGTTTTGCCTGGCCGCTCTGGCCAGCACTTCCAGGACATTGATGACGGAGTGGACAGAGTGGACATCCTCGTCTTCCTCCTGATCTCAGAGGGAAAGGCCTCCCTTGAATATAATCGCTGTCGGTTTGTTGTCAGTGGCCGTGTTTTGCCACATTCCTTCTACATCCAGTCTGTTAAGGCTTTTTATCATGAAAAGATGTTGCATTTTTGTCAGATGCTTTTTCTCTGTCTATTGAGCTGAGCATGTGATTTTCATCTTCCATTTTATTGAGGTGATGTGTGGCGTTTATTGATTTGCACATGTGGGGCCACCCTCGCATCCCAGAGATAAATCCCACTTTGTCACGGTGGGTCTTCCTCTGACTGTTCCTGAGTAGGGCTTACTGATATTCTGTTGACAATTTTTACATCTGTATTCATGGAGACACTGGCGTATCGGTTTTCTGCGGTCTTCTCTGGTTATAGAATGAATTTGGAAATGTTCCCTCCTCCTCAGTATTTTGAAGAGTTTGAGGAGGATTGTTAGTTTTTTCTTAAAACGTTCAGTAGGACTCCCCAGTGAACCTGTCAATTCCTAGAGATTTCTGTGTTGGGAGATTTTTGTTTACTAATTCAATTACATTTTTCGTTACTGGTCTGTTCAAACTTCTACTTCTTCCTGATTCACTCTTGGTAGGCTGCATGTTTCTAGAAATGTATCCATCTCTTCCGGTTATGTAGTTTCCTAGCCTCTAATTGTTCATAGTATATGATCCTATATATTTCTGTGGTTTCGGTCATAATGTCTCTTTCATTTCTTCTTCTTCTTTTTTTTAGATGTTTATTTTTGAGAGAAAGAGAGCAAGCAGGGAAGGAGGGGGGACGGAGGGTCCAAAGCAGGCTTTGCACTATAGCAGAGAGCCCTTTGGGGGCCTCAAACTCATGACCCGTGAGATCATGACCTGAGCTGAAGTCAGACGCTTAACCAACTAGCCCCCCCACGTGCCCCATATTTTTAATTTTATTTGAGTCTCTTTTTTTCTTAGTGTAGATAAATGTTTGTCAATGTAGTTCTTTTTTCAGAGAACCAGCTCTTAGTTTCTTCAGTCCTTTCTATTAGTTTTCTGGTCTTGATTTCATTTATTTCTTCCCTGAACCTTATTTTTACCTCCCATTTGCTAACTTTGGACTTAATTATTTGTTTTTTTTTTTTTTNTTTTTTTTTTTTTTGTTTTTTTTTTTTAGCTCTTTGAAGTGTAAGTTAGGTTATTTGAAATCTTTCTAATTTATTAATATGTTCATTTTTTGCTCT